AATAACCCATATACTATAACTTCAGTCGATGCGTGACATAGTGTGGCCATCATCCAATGTCAACAGCAAGTATTTTTTCTCATACCCGACTTATTTGACCTGATACTTCCATTCCCTGCAAACTTCTAGATTGAGTGTTAACAGTTACTGATAACTACCTTCTTATACCGAGACACAAATTGGCGCAAAACTGTGTTGAATTATCTGTTCAAAACTGAATAACTGGTGGAATACTGACTGAATTGGCTACCTGCTTAAACCTCTGTGCTACTAAATGTTCCCATTATATATTACATTAGGTCTACTTTGTTTTACTTTCTTTTGATCATCAGATTATGTTCTTTAATGTCATCCAATTTTCATGGATATTTTAAAAATTTCCTGCCCATCTCTATGAGTTAAATAAATGTAGTAAAGTAAAAACATCACAGTGGATGGCAGAGTGATTTAAAGCAAACAAAGCCACATCAAATGACGCTACCAAAAGTACTCAGCTCGAACTGAAGGTCTCTTGTTGTTAAGGCGAATTACTCACGATGCCCTCTATATTCTAAAGTCTGTCGTAATGTTGATGTGATAAATAACGTTACAGAAACTTAGTTGTATAACTGATGTGGAGACGGTTTAGCCTCTTTAGATGGTTCTACAATGTTCCTCCAGAATCATCACTCAGTTATACTAACTGGATTATTCTGATCCCCCTATTCTAATGAAAATATCGAATATATCACTGTCAAGTGTCGTCCCAAGCATTTGGATGAATGTGATTTTATTTACATCACCAATGCTTTTGTGATCCTTTGGTGCAGCTACTCTGAACTAGCTGGATTTGCTGAAAAATTTACGGAATTTGCAGCTCCCATAATATGTACTGCTTTATATACAGTCTGTGATGACTTTAGCTCCTGTCATAGCAGCTTTCTGAGTTTTGTTGGTCACAAAAACCTAATCAGTTTTTCGACTCATCTTGATGCCATATTAGAATTGGTTTTCGTAAATGAATTTCGCATATATCAAACTCAGAAACGAGTAACATTGTTGAACTTGGATCACTGTGTTATGTGTATTTTGCCAAAAGTATATGGCAAATAACAGAAAAGTACTTCTTCATGACAACCAAACACGACTTCATGCATGAGCTATACAGATGAAAACATAATCACGATCAGAAGCATGTTGCAAAACACAGAATGGGAAACATTTGAAAATGGTGCTCTGTATAACTTAAATTTCACCTTGATATTTGCTGCCCATCTGAAATACTTTTTATAAGATCCAATAGATCTTCTCTACAGTTAAAGAAACTGTTAAAAGAAAAAATGTATAAATTGAATGATAATACTGGCGTTAAACAACTGAAGTGGCTGATTAGTTCTAAAATTAGTTGACTTAATGTATGACTAAAAGGTCATGTAATTTAAAAACCCTTCTAGTATATGGAAACATTTTAACAATCTTACTGGTAAGAGAAAACTCATTTATATAGCCTAGACAATAGTCTATGCTCTAAACTAGTCATTCATACCCAAGCCTGCTAACCTTCTCTCATCTAGTTGTCCCGAAGTAACAGAAGATAGTTGTCCAAAATTCCATAGGATCAAATTTGTTCAAGTGCTTATAATCATTAAAACCTTCACATAGTTTAGGATCAGATGGTATACCAGCTATTCTATTTTATCAGGTTTGCCGATATTGTGTGTTATCTACTTACAAACATTTTTAATGAGTCATGTGCAAGGAATGATGCACCAACCACATGGAAGTGAACTAAGATAGTTCCAGCACCCAAGCCCATGTCTTCTGAAGCAAGTGTGAAAATCTGGCTCACAGCAACAACTTCCTCATTCCTAAAAGCAATGGAAAAATTGTCACTTAGTTTGCTTGAGCCTCTGATGGAGATTTTTGGTGATCCAAATCAGTTTGCCTGCAAATCTAGAGGGGATATTTTAGACGCAGAAGCTGTTTCACATCATAATATTATTGTCAATCTTGACAGAGATCCTAAGTGTGTTAGATCTGCCTTCTTAGACTGCACTTCTCCCTTTGGTTCTGTCCGTAGACCTGATTTATTAAATAAGCTTTTCAGAAATCATAATAAGTCCTGGATTGCAAACTGGCACGGTTCTTATTTTTCTGAGTGAAAACAGTACATTCTCTACAGAGAGAAGTCCTCTATTTCGCTACTAAGTGAGGCCAGTGTCCCTGAAAGTGATGTTGTTTCTCCTTTTCTTCTCTTTCTTTTTATCTGACCTACCCACGTCAACTAAAGTTAACTTTTTTAGATATGCAGACGACCTAACAGTATCCATGCTGATCATCTTCTCTTCAGACTTTTTTTCAGTTTAATAACATCTTGACCGAAATTGGCCTCTAGTCGTACTTAAATGGTCTCATACTCAATCTATCCAAATGTCAGATGGATAATTTTAGCATAAGACATGAAAAAGATGTAAGCTGCTTCAGTCTCGTGACTCTTGTCTTATTGATGGCGGTATTGTAGAGAATGTATCAAGCGTGATCTATGCTGGCTTATGCTTTTCTTCTGATCTTTCTTGGTCCCCTCATATCTTACTGATTTTGAGGAAAATCTTTCACTCTAACTTTTATATAAGGAAAGTCAGACTGCCTGATACAACTCAGCCTCTACCCTTAAGTTTCGTTAATTCTTATATTTTGCTTATAGTTACTTACTGTTCAGCCTTATTCTTTCGCGTAATTCGGAAAACAGAATACTCTGTATTGCGTAGGATTTTGAAGGCTGCCAGTAGAGCAATTAGTAAACCACTAACCATGTTGATAAATGCTGTTGTGGATAGGCATCTTAACTATTGTGTACAGCTGACTACAAATATTTTATCTGATGACAAGCATGTTGTGTATTCACACCTCTCTTCATGTCTGTCCTCAAGGAAGACAAAAAGTAAAAACATTCGACTTTATGCACGCACAACTACATATAAAAATTCAAGCACTCCTTATTTATCTTGTGTATTGTATGAAGAAAATCATATTATAGTCTTATCAATCAACTATGTTGTAATAGCAAACAGTTATCATGACTGTGAAGTCGTTGAAACGTTTCAACAATCCTGTTATTCTTTATCACATATTGTTAACTAGCATCGCTGTTCATATATATTTGAAGAATGTTGTACAATGAGAGAACTAATACAATATCACACAGTGGGGATTCTGCACTGTAAACAAAACTGTGGTTTGAAATAAGGCGAATATATTATTACTATTAAAAAGTCATCTGGTTTGTAGTATTGTTGTTGGACAAATATTTGGGACACTATGTGACTTGACAAAATCAAGTAATTTGGGTAGCAGGCAAGTGGTTCATAATGGGAGTATACTTTGAAATCTCTGTTAACTAGAAGGGTAAGTTGCCAACGTGTAATGATTTTATGGAACGTATTTCCCCAGAGAAAAGAAGTTAGAAAAGTTATCATATCCAATCCACCAAACGTTTATTACAGTTTGGGGTTTGTGTGGATTTATTGATTTAAAGTTGATATTCGTCATGGACTGCCATAAGTAAGAGGAACGTTGGAAACCCTGGAGCACTGTAGCACTAAAATCAATAAATTCCCACAAACCTCAAATTGAATTAATCTAGTGCTCATTGGTGACTAGCTTGGGGAGGTGATTCCTGAAGTTCCAATGAGAAGTTGTGACCGATGAGGTAAACCTGGTGGATGTGAAGACAAATACTCAAAGACAATATTAAGTGATGGCTGCGCTATATCATGAACTGATACAAGTTGGAAATATGGACCATCAGACTTCGGCCCAGGAGCTCGATGGTAAAGTGCTGGACACGGAACCTGAAGGTGCTGGGTCCGATCCCTGGTGGTGCGAGATCATGGCTGTCTACTGCTGAGGGGTCCCATACTAGGACGAAATAGCTGAGCATTGCTCCAAGCTTTCTAATGTTCTTCCGACTAATGTCAGTCCATGATGAATACTAACTTGAAAACTTTATTAATTGTGGATGGCATGAATTAACTTATTATAAGTTTAAAATGAACGTTTGTGCACAATGATTGAATTCTTTAATCTTGGTGATATTTGAACCAAAGTAACTACCCATGATTGCACCAAAAGTTGATAAAAAATTCCAACTATTACTCTTATTAGAGGTGGTAAATTTTGCTAGAAATGCTACTAAAACCTAAAAATCTCATATTTGTCTGCAAACATTCACTTTAAATTCATTTATAATAAAATAGAGTCATCATTCTTATTTCTGTATTTGTATTTTTCAGTGAATGTAAAATAAAATAAAGTGGTTTTAACTGACATTTAGCTGTTTTGTGCTATTAGCTTTAACAAAGTTATAGAAAACAGGAATTAACAATATCCCCCAAGATTACATATGATAACTTGATATGAAGTTCTGCTAGATGGAGGATTCAGCGTTGTCAAACTGTTGAACAAAGATGATGTCCATATGAGTGTATCATATGAGATTATTGTATGAATTACAGATTAAGATTTGTATGTACATATGTGCTGATAGTTCTTATTACATTTGTGTTGCCTATGTCAGTATGTGAGGGTGAGTTGAAACTACATATTATTCCCTCACTCCTATTTAGACAATTTTGATTCCAATTGACTTGATTTTGGTTAGCAATGGAATCCAGGACTCACGTTTGTTCCTGTTTGGGTCTTGTCAGCTGGAGGCATCCGGATAGGACCCCATATGCCAACAGAAGACGATCAATTCGATCCAGTATAACAACGTAGAATCGCAAGTATAATAGCAAATAATTTTGGTTCCACTTTATGTGAAGAGATTCTGCCATGAGACTTTCCTTATAATTTCTAAGGTCTGTTTGAATAATTTCGACATTGTCGAAATTGACTTTATGACCTGGAATTATGTCGAGTAGAAATATGGCTCAGGTGCTTTCGAACTTTTTAAGCGCTACTGAGTTTCTATGGGGTAGGGTAAAAGCCCTTTGGTGTTTATTTTTTCTTGTTTTGATTTTATGTGAGGTATGTCGAAGGTATATTGCATAGCATCTCGAGCGTTCTGTTTTTAAAAACGCAATTAGATTGTAAATCCAGAGGAATTTTGTCCTTCACATCAACTTAAGTGCTCTGTAAACAATCCAGTCCTAATCTGGTTTAGATACCTGAAAACAGTTATCATATTGTAGTTTATTTGGTGATAGCTAGCAGCGGAATCCAGGACACGCACCTTGTCCCGGCTGGGACTCACTGGCCGGATGTACTTTCACCCAAGTGAGTGATATTGCTTCCACTGACTCGAAGCCAGTAACCAACGCTTCAAACGCCATAGCGTTGCCCACTAGACCACTACGGCATGATAGCTACTAAGGTTATCATCTGCTTAAATAGTAAAAGAAACAACTGACACAACCTTATGCATATCAAGTTTGTCCTAATAAACTATTCGCCTTGGAATGATGGTTAAACCTTTTATCCTATTAAGCATATTAAGAGTTGACAACAGCTGGTAGGCATCAACTCCTCGTCTTTTTTTGTGGCCAAGAAAAAGCGTTTTCAATGACTTCAGGCTTTCAGTTCCACTTTGTTGTCGTTCCAATGGTTACCAGGGCATTGCGAAATGTCAGAAACTTACCATATTTCCCCCATCAGAGTTCCACGAACGCATTTTTATTATACTAGGGTTTATATAATCGTTTTGATATTAAATTATATCACATATAGATTAACTAAAGAAGGGAATGATGAGTTTTCCACTTTTGGAGAGAGGAATACCAACTTGAAGTTAATAAATAAATCTCCATGAACCTCCAAATTAAATTAGTCTAGTGCTTATTGGTGACTCGGTTCGGAAGGTGATTCCTGAAGTCCTAGTAAGAAGTGGTGACCGGTTGGATAAAACAATTAAGGCATGAGAACAGTTAGTTAACATCGTGCAATATCATGAACTGACAGAAGTAGAAAAATGTGAACCATTGGATTTCAACCCAGTGGACCAACGGTAAGGTGTTGGCTTTGGGACTTAAAGGTCGTGGGTTCGATCTCTGGTCAAATGCAGTGGTGGTTGAACACTCCTGAGGACTCTCATACTAGGATGAAACTGCTACCTACTCAGTGCTTCCAGATTTTAAATGGTTTCACAACTGCCTTGAGTTCATGATGAATACAAGGGTTTGAATACTGAGTAATCTGTACTGTGTTGACTGAAAGCCATATTTGGACGAAACCATAAGATTAGGCATATGACAATATTTTCGAGTCTGTATTCAACTTGACTTCTCATAGTATCTGACAGTTCACTAAACCTCTAATATATAAAATTTTGACTTTATGTTAATTCTTTATGCAGAAGAGAAAAAAATAACTTATGGAAGCTTTCAACTGAATTAAACAATAGTAAAATATTTATTCATAGTATAACTGACCAATGTATAACTCAGTTTTCTGAAGGAGATACATATATATTCTTCACGGGCACCAATATTCGACCATGTTCATTCACGCATTCTGATGAATAAATATTAAACTTTTTCTAAGTAAAGAAATCACCATTGTCTTTTTATTTGTAACATTATCCAGTTTATTGATAAATGTAATAATAGTAATAACAACAAGTATAATGTTCATAATATTCACAACAAAAAGAATATCAATAAAGCATGCTAACAAGAGTAATTCAAAATGTATGATTACATTTAAACAATGTCAGTATCTAGAAGAATACCGCTAATTACAGACGAACAGATTAGAAAGTGTTAAGGAATAAAGAGGAGAGAGAGAGAGAACTGAACTAACTCTTTCTTAGAATCCATACAAGTTTATATAAGCAGGTATTTGTTCTAATCATGTTTACAAAGGGCTACTAAACGAGTTAACGTCAGCTCAATTGGCAAATCCTGTTATTTCCTATATGCAAATGATAAATAATAAATAATTGAAAGAATACCTGATTCGTAACTGAACTATAACTAATAACCTCTAATTGTATACGCTTAGTTCAGCATTTAGCCTACTTAACTAGTCATTCAAGTTGGATTGGTTTGATCCTCCAACGGTTGAGATCTTCGTTCAGTTTCAAAATGAGTACTACATGAGTAGTATATAATAGAAGATAAGGAAGAAAAAAGAATACTGAATTAAATAAACTCAATCGGATTATCCTTACATTCATGATTTCAGTTAATTAAAATAAAGTAATAAAAGTACACCACTAAATAACATAGAACTCATTACAGCTAATCAAGGTAGGTTGAGAGACAGACAATATTGTTGCATTCAGTGACACATCAATCGAAGATGATAATAATGTATGGTCCCCTGAACTTAAATTCACGAATCACCGCATACAACCTAGTATGCCCAGTGTAGCTTGTTTCGGATATCCAGGACGTGTACGCATTGCTATATTATCAAATACATAATAATTTGTGCCTTCGAAGAATAAAGTTTCATCTATATTGAAAACAAAAAAGATAACGCAAACAATATGATAATACTGTAGATGTTGTAAGTTTAAAAAGTGATAGATTTTTACAGTTTGCGATTAAAAAAGATCAAAATGTTCATAAGATCACCATTAAACTGATATTTTTATACACAAACACATATACTCATACGAACGCTGGGGTTAATTAGGAGTTGAGAGAAAACTTACTTTCCGTAGGTTTAGTGTATTTACATGTAGTTCTACCTAAAAGAGGTCAGTGCCAGTCAAAATGCATTTCTTCTGCATTGAGCGCTTCAAAAGTTTGTTTTTTATGAATTCATGTTACCATATTGAAATATTACGAAGAAAAACGTACAAGTCTCTTTATGGGCTCCCATGCACGACGTTAGAAGGGAGGAAGCCCTACTTAATCTGAAGCTTTCAGCTTGTCATCCAATGGTATACTCACATCAATCAGTGTTACAATAACCTACTTTCCCAATCCGGTCATGAGTGACGTACTGTAGGAGTGAAGTGTGCACAAGAACTGGTCAATAATTGGTAAATGAAGCAGCTGTATGGTCATAGGTGTTCAGTACTGATCAAATTTGTTCATCCAGTTTACCATGAGGTCGTGTGGACAAGTGATAAGATACTAAGCAACAAGATCGTTCCATGTTTCATCTGTGTGATATAAACAGATTTTACAAGACTAATCAAAATTCATTCAGTTTACTTAATCATTTACAAAACCTATAATCCTGAATGAAACAACTGCAAACATATTTCTGTATACTATAAAACTATACACCAGTCTTATAGTCACATTATTGTCGTAGTCATGCAAAAGTCAACCAGAATAAATTATTTAGGTCAGTATTAAGCTTTTGACGAATGAAGACTAGAATTCTCATGGGCTAAAGTTTTATTATGAGCTGTATACGTTTTGATCCTGCAGGAATAATCATCATTTTCACTGAGAATAGACTGGGTTCGATCCTTGACGTTGTCATGAAAGCTGTCCGTTGAGGAGTCCCATACTAACACGAAACCATGTTTCAAAGTTATGGAGCTTTCTTGATATGATTACGGACAATAAATTGTGTCCACAGCATAATCTATTAAATAATACTGTTCCACTGTGTGATGCATCTAATAAATCAATTGAAATGGAAATGAAATGTACATCACTTCACCTAAGTTTAATTCATCAGTGAGTTAACTAGATCTAGTTAGTTTAGATAATACACGTTTGGTAACACATTGACAGATCACTGGATGGAGTGGTATGCATTTGTCAAAACCTAAGTACAGACTGAAGTCTTTCAAACAAGTCTGAGATGTGATCATTCGATTAAACGGTATGACAAAATGGTGTCTTGTGTCTGATATAAAATGTGTGAAATCGAACTCTACCACGTGCCAGACTCAAGTTTCATATCTGTCGGGACTTATTGGTGTAATATCCCTTATTCAGTGGTTATAGGGTGAAATTGATAAATAAGACTTAATGAGCAGTCGAAAATTGACAGTTAAGTCAGTAACTTTAACTTAACCAGTCAAGTTACATAGTCCACTCCTAGGTGGCACTTGTCTTTCTGACAGATACTATCAAACACGAAACTTAGACGAAGCAGAGCTGCCTACCATCTAAATTCCAACATATAACATAGTCACTAGCACTGATATTAATTCAAAAATAACATTATTGATAACGTTATTAAAATAACATCATTAGAAGTTTGACAATAAATATTTTATTACATTGTTAACCTTATCTACTGTTAGAAGGCTTCAGATTTGCACAAAACATTATTTATTTTTCCGTACATTTTGAAATTGCCGTTTTCGCGCCCTTTTACACTAGAGCCAGTAGTTCACTTCCCCTTGTTTTTTACAAGGTGAATTCCTGATCAGTCGATGGTTACTTTTAATATTTTAATGTTTATCATCCTCGAAAAGGTCACTTCTCATGTATGTATACACACGCGAATCGGGTTATTACCAGTCGTTTAGGCGATAAAATGGTTCTCATCAAGCCTGGTGTTCTTTCTGTCCGCCTTCTATCTGGGGTGTTAGAGTCGCTGGTATCTGATATCCAATGTCCAATATTCATAAAAATAACATCTACTAAAGTTTTACCGCTTCCATATGTTGTAGTCGAAAGTACTGGACAGTCGTAAATATTATCAGTAGGTATGTAAGTGTAAAAGCTTAGTAAAATCTGTGCCAGCCACTTGGAGTTTGATTGATCTATCTAGATTAAAAAAAGGCCCGAAATCAGATGTTTCGTGGTCATTCGCCTCATGAAATACTTAATATGAACTTTAACATCCTGTAAGCCATGAGATTTCAGTTTCAATGACATTGCTGCCTTTTCCGTTGCATAACTATGAGACTCAGGAAAATATGTCTGTTCAGATTTTGTCATCCTATCTGGATGTTTTTGGTATCTTAAGTTTGTTTGTGGATAACTCCTCGACTACTGAAGCATTATGTGCTGTATTTGAACTTCAGTCGAGGTACCGTTCCTCAGAGGGATACAGCTGACGAGTTCTAAGCAGAACGAAATGTAAATTTAAGATTCTCCTGATAGCCAGTGTCAAACAAATGACACGAAATAGTCACACTGATTGTTCACGGGAGAGCAGTCAATTTCATGTTGTCTTATCTTGAGTGTTGATGAAGTTCTATAGATCGTTTGGCAATGTGGCTACTAAGCTAGGAAGCTTACCATCAAACTGCGCCTTTGATGAGTGTTAATTGGCTAGGGGCAATGAATCAACAGGAAGCCTTAGCTGACAAGGATTTCGTACTTGCTGATCCTCCCCTTACTGACATATGCCAACAAGCTCGAAACCTAGGTGAGATAGGGCATCCTACCGACTAATAAAGATCAAACCGCCACTCATTTTTGTAATGCTATCATCGAATTTCTTTACATCGTACAACCTGCTGTACATAAGGATGGATACTGTGCTGAGGAAGAAGGTCAAACCACGCGGTGGGATTTGTCATCAGCTCTCCTTCTTGGCTGTTCATCATCTATTCTCATAGTTATTTATTTCGCTTAACAAAAAATCTGTAAAGAACTTTCAGTCAGTTGATCTATTATAATCTGTAGTGATATGTGAGGATTGAAGTCCCATTTTTTTTTAAGAATCCCAACCTATATCACCTAAAGCTGCTTAATTTGCCTTTGGATTGCTACTAAGTGATGATTGAGGATGAAATGGAAACTTGGGCTGTAAAACGACTCGAACCAGCAGTCTCTGGATTACCAGTCCAGTGTTCTACCAAGTGAGTTTTGAGAACCAAATATAGGCCAGATCTAAATTTCACTTCAGTCACCAAGGATTTCGCCCGATTGGCATTGGTGGGTGTCAAATCCTATAAGCTGTCAACAACAAGGATCGTATTTAGTCCCAGAGCTTCCTGGAGATTTCAGACGAATATTGATATAAATATTGGATAAATAACTGTGTTCGACATACATTAACCTTAATCAGTAGAACAAAAGTATTAATTTCATTCTCCTGTATTAAGTTTGGAACAAGCGGTCAAGATTAATTATTGGTCAACAAATGTTGGCATATGGCCTCCTATGTGAATGCTATGATGCTGCATGAATTTCCAGTATTTTACCACTAAGTAAACGATAACATAATGAATATTTAGGCTAAATCCAAATATTTGCATATGAGCCCTATGCCAACGAAGGTTCATCAGTTAGATCCAGTAAAACAATGGGGAATTAGAAGTATCAGTAACTTATAGTAACTGATACCAGTTGCACAAAAGGTGGATGTCATGTCTCATTGGCACAATAGATTACACTTTGACGTTTGAAGCGATGCGTGCTAGGTTAGAGTAACAGTGGGAATTCTACCACCCCCTGCAATGCAAGTATATCCAGCTGATGAATCCCGAATAGGATGAAACACGTACCCTGGATTCCGCTGATAGCCACCATGAAATAACATATGGCCGATTAACGTGGTAATAACTCCGTGATTCAAATAAAGTATTTTACAGCCCAGTACGTGCATATATACATTGAGATGAGTGCGGATTTTAATTTTGAAGTAGTATTCATCACGAACTGACATCAGTTGGGGAGCCATTGGAAACCTGGGAGTACTGTACAGCTGTTTCGGCCTAGTAAGGGACTCCTCAGAAGTACAGACTCATGACCCGGTTAAGGATCGAACTCAGGACCTCTAGGTCTCACGACGAACGCATAGACCACTCAGCCACTGGGTCGGAGTTGATTGCTTCAGTTTCCAACTTCTGTCAATTCCCGATATAGCGCGGCTATTACCCAAGGTCATAAGATGTCATCCGCTTTCTTTCCAACTGATTAATCTCACAGGTCACGGCTTTTCATTAGAACTTCGTGATATCCATCTAGAAGCATCCTAGGACAAAACAACTGTCCAGTGCTTCCAGGTTTCCAATGGCTCCCCAACTGATGTCAGTTCGTGATGAATACTACTTCAAAATTAAAATCCGCACTCATCTCAATGTATATATGCACGTACTGGGCTGTAAAATACTTTATTTGAATCACGGAGTTATTACCACGTTAATCGGCCATATGTTATTTCATGGTGGCTATCAGCGGAATCCAGGGTACGTGTTTCGTTCTATTCGGGACTCATCAGCTAAATGTACTTGCATTACCGCTTTAACATTACGTCGAAAACTTGCTATACATGAATGTTCTTTTCATGACGTAAGGACTGATGCTATAGTTTACAACATTTGCGAATTTAAATCAAACTATAGTAGACATACGAATTAACTAATGACGAGTATGAATAATTTTTATTCATCTTAATGTAAACACATATTTACCACATGCTGATAAAATATTATAGCAGGTAAGTAAAAAGAAACACATTAAACAAATTAATAAAATTTCCACGTACTCTTAACGCAACTCGATACAGTTAAGATTTTGGACTACACAGGATAACTGACATGATAAGAATAATGAACAGTTGTATATTTTGAAGCAAAAATG